TATATATATTGAAATCCTCTGCATCGATCTAATTAAAAATTATATTAAAATTATTTTTAATTATGAAAGTAAAATATTTAAATTTATTTATTATAATATCATTGATTTTACATCGATTAATTATATATTACTCTTTGTATTTAGATCTTTTTAGCATTTTGTTCTACTAAATAAATTTATATTGAAATGTCTATAGTCATTATGGTAAAATATTTAATAATATTTACTCTAATATTATTGGTTTTATTAACGAAAGATACAACACATGATAACACGTGCATGAATGATATAAAAAATGATAATAAAAAGATAATTTCAACATTGATGATGGATGATAATACTACAGGTGACTATTGTGATGGTAGTTAATGATAACGACATTATGGTTAGCTTTGTCGATATCAATCCGAGCATCGACAATAAAAAAGAAGATGAGACAAAGCAGTGAGATATTTGCATCAATGTTGGAGGAGGAAAATGATGAAGATGAGACTTGCACTTTACTGCTTTGTCTCCTCTTCCTCATCCGACATCACTATACATCTATGTTGGCAATGAAAGAGGAAAAGGAGATGAGTGAGGCAAAACGATGCGACGTCATTCATGCACGTGCTATCACATACTATATCTTCAGTTGGTAAAACCGATGGTGTTAAGATAAATGAGATTAAATATTTCACTTTCATAATTATAAGATTTTTAATATAAATTTTTTAAGTTTAGGAATCGGGATACTAAAGAAGTATAACTACAAGGGGTAATCTATAATTAGTCCACAACTATTATTAAAATTATCTTTTTGTCTATCATTTTCATGCTATATATGCATGTACTATCACATGTTGTATCTTCCTATAAGGTTGATAGCATTAGAATAAAAAATCTTGGTGTAGAAGTTGATGATATATTTTTAGTACATTGGTAGATGGATAAAAAAAACACTCATTGATTAATTATGAAAAAAATTAATCGTAAAGTCGATGATGTAAGAGAAATTTAATTTTTTTTATTATATAAAATTAATAAAAAAAAATCAATTTTCATGTTAAGCTACACCCAACCCGAAATTTCTTATAAAATTTTTTATAAAAAAAAATCATAATTGTCCAACAACTATTTTTTACTTGAATCCTTGATATAAATTTGTATCCTAATCTATCAAGAATTTAATATAAATCATCGGCACAATCCAATCTGATAACATAATTGATCTAAAATATTTAAGTCTGAGTTACTTGTAGTACAATCTTTATTTAACGAACCACCCAATGAAAGATCACTTAGTGTGACCATTCGTAATCATTTCCAATTCTAGTCTCTTACTATCTCTACTACATCGATTCTAAAACTATTTCAAACCTTACTTATATATTTTTAATTTTACATATTATAATTATGATTATAAAATATCTCATAACTATGCCAAAACAAGGAGCAGCTATAAATTGATAGGATGTTTGTAGTAATTGGTTTTTTCCGAGAGTTTGCGCACCTCCTAACCATTATGATTATAGAATCTCTTATTTGGCTAAAATAAGAAACCATTGCCCCCAAAAAAGCGTCCCAATCCTTCTTTTATTTATTTATATTTTCGTATTGGATCATACGACTGCAATATCGGCTGAAGAGACAATGATGTGAAGAAACACAATAAACGCCGTGGGTAGCAATCTAATCTCCACCTTTCGGGGACGTAAAGCCACTCTTAAGCGTATCTGGTCACCGGCCGCAATATGGTTCGTAAGGGGATTATTTCTTGTTCACTAAAAATTCACCGCCGGCCAAGTGGGCTTCAGCAGCACTTTTCCTATTAACCTGAAATGACCATAAAACCCTCAGATCGTTCCCTTTTTCTTCTTTGCCCCCTCGACCCCCCTTTTTTCTCTTCGATCGTTTTCTAGGGTTCCCTTTAGAGCTCCTCGTCGACGTCGCCTTCAGCCGCCGCGACGTGGGTTTCCTCGCTTCCGTCATGGACGCCCAGAGAGCTCTCCTTGACGAACTCATGGGTGCAGGTGAGTCCGTCGCGGCCCTTTCCGTAGCATCGATCCGTTCGATCGATTCAATTCCTTCGATTTGGTTCCCGCAGCACGAAATCTCACGGAGGAACAGAAGAAGCGGTACAAGGAGATCCGGTGGGACGACAAGGAGGTCTGTGGCGCGTATATGGTTCGGTTCTGCCCGCACGATCTCTTTGTGAACACGAAGAGTGATCTTGGTGTGTGCTTGGTTATTCTCTTTTCGTTGATTTATCGTTAGTTCTGCCTTGCAAGTTCTTATGTTTGGGTGGTTTCTTTTCAGGAGCTTGCCCTAAAATCCATGACCCGAAACTAAAAGAAAGGTAGCTACTGCGATCACACAATTTTCTGAATTGCCCTTTTATGCCATCAAAGTGTCGCTATTTCAATTAGTATTTTGCTATCTTTTGGCGGTTTTCTTATGCTTGAACTTAGAAAATTGTTATCCGACTATTTCAGGATGGTTTTGTGGGGTTTTCTATGTTGTTGTAGTGAACATCTGTATATTGTCGTGATTTACAATACTCAATACTCTCTTTGTATTGTTCTGCGAGCTTTGATTGTGATTATTGCTTCAATATTTTTAGGTTTGATTGATAATTATACCATCTTTTCCTAATAGTTATGGTTGGAAGATTTCTTTGAAGCTAGCTGTTTTAATGTGTCATGTAGGAGGGAACTTTAATATGAGTTATTGGCGTGCTTTGATAAATAAGACATTTGGAGTTCTCTGGATATTGCATTGTTTTTCGTTTGAGGTAACCGATCCAAAGCTCTCTGATCAGATATTTGCATGGTAACATGCCAGACAATTGTGTTACCCTTTCAGGTTTTGCGGTTGCATTTCCATATATCAAGAGTTATAATGACTTTGATCATGAGTTGCAACAAGACTCCGCACACCTTCTTATGGGAGATATCTGACTTGTCTGTTTAAGTTAATAGATAGTTGAAAGTTCAACATATACGTGCTAAATAGTTTGACATAGTTAATGAGTGGATGATTTGTCATTCCTCGTAGCAATGCTGTCTAATTTTTAATCTTGATATATTTATTCACATGGGTTCCTGTTATTGCCAAACAATTCAACATTTTTCTCTAGATTTAACTGTAAACCTAAATATACTGCTTAGTTGGAAATATAGCAGGATTTTGTGTGAGCATGTGATATAGTTCACTGCAGCTTCTCTAGAAAAGGTTTACTGCAGTAAGCATAACCAAAAAGAAATATGGTCTTCCAGATAGTGATGCTTATTAGTATACTAACAGTTGTATGTTTTTTCAAAGTCTCGAAGTATTTTGCTGTACTTTGGAATAAAATCAAAGCATCACAAGTGAATCATACTTTTAGATGTTAGTTGCTTTTTCTGGGGGAAACATTTTTTTGGTTGTGTACTGTAAAAGAAAGTGCAAGTAACATTGCTGTTGCTATGGGCTTCTATTAAAAAGAAGAAGTAAATATAAGTAAGGATTGAAATATCGTACCGTACCAGAGTTTTGAGATTCGTTCGGTACGGTATGGTATTGTATTTCTATATACCGCTCGGTATATATATATATATATATATATATATATATATATAAAGTAAAAAAAATAAAAATTTGCAACGTCGCCTCTCTTCTCCCCATGTGGGGTGATGTCGCAGAAAAACGAGACGACATCGCCTATATGTATTTATTTATATATAAAAGTAAAAAAAAATAAAAATCTATGACATCGCCTCTCTTCTCTCCACGTGGGCCGACGTCGCTTTTATATATATATATATATACATATATATATGTCCGTGTATCGGTTTGCTAGCGGACCGGTACATACCGCCTGGTACAGACGGTATTATTCGAATTGAAGACCTTGAATGTAAGTAACTTTGTCTTTATAAATTATCACAATTTATCAAAGTTGGCATGGAGTAAATAGATCGTCATGCATGATTATGGGATATGACAAAACATACTTTAAGCACTTACTGGTAAAAAATTGTCATATTTGTTAAGCAACTTTTAACTGACCTACAGATATAAGTGTTCTGTTTTTCAGTGTAACACATTACGCAATCTGTGCCAAAACAATACCATCACCTTTCAGATTGATGTACCTGTGTGCCATTCTCGTTGAGGCATTTTATATGTGCTCAAACACTTTGATGATCAACTATCTACTTTCCATAGAGTATATGCGATCTGTTGTTGTCGATAGTCAGAGATTCCTGCCTATTTTTATATCTTTAGATGATGCATGTTATGTTTCTCTGGTCTCTTGACACCTCAATAACCTAGTAGTATTAGTATTCACTTCTATAGTATATGATGTAAAATGCCTTCTCTATTTGGTAGGATTTTAATTGGAGACTGACTTATTTGCTTCACTTTTGATTATCTAATTTGTTGTTCATTTTTAAATCTTTTATATACTTTAAACTAATTAGCATAGACGGCATGTACTTCAATATATTAAAATATGTGCTTCGTAGTTCCTGTTGTGCATATTACTGAATGTATGGTACTCCTTTCCAAGACCATGGACAAGTTGAAAGTCATTTTATCAAAAGCAATGATTTGTCACTCAAGTTGGAGATCCATGTTGTATACATGTTTCGGGATCTCTACTGATTCATGGAGTTGAATAGTGGAAAATGTTTATTTAAAAGGTTTCTGCTTATATACCTGTTGAAATATGCATATTTGTGTAGATTCCCCTTGCTAGTTCACACTTGCATGTATATCCTCCAGGATGGCACATAATTGCAACAGCATATTTGATAATAATTCTATTAGTAAAATTGATCTAAAACATGCTGAGTTTATTTAATCGAACTTGCCTTGAGACAATACTTCTGCATTTTTATTTCCCTCTCTCTAATTCTTGGAAAGGCTGAAATAACCATTTAATGGTCATGTTCTAATTGCTTCTCAAACATACAAAGCCACCGATTTCTTATCGAACTTGTGGAGCCTTCACGAAGTCGATGGTGGTTGCCTATTAGAAATTGTTGAGGAGTCGATGGATGGGATTAATAAATAACTGCTTTCTGAAACGTGTACATGCAACTATGAGCTTTTGACCTTCACGAAATCGATAGTGGTTGCTTATTAGAAATTGTTTAGGAGTTGATGGATGGGATTAATAAATAACTGCTGTCTGAAACGTGTACATGCAACTATGAGCTTTCGAGTATATAAGCAAATTATATGCTATTTAGAGGGGATTCATGTTAATATTGAATTTTTTAATGCATACCCAAATACCCATATTTTTAGGGTATGTGAAAAACCCTTTTTTAAATGGATTTGCAATGCTGAAGAAGTGTTTGTACAACTTCTCTATGTTAATGTAAAGTCAGAAGTAGTAAAAGAAGGCTCATGTTGATGCTTTAGTTAAGTGTTGTTCTCTCTGAAGCTACTCTTCTGGGCCAGCATGTTCCCCTTCAATCTTTTAGGTTTGGTTCATAAAGTTTATAAGTTAACTTTTTTTAATTATTTTCGGGCTCACAAATGGTATTATTGATGAAATGGTTTAGCAGATCTTGATCAAAGTTAAGTTCTTTGTGGTGAAACTGTACCCTCATGAGTGCACTGAATCGAGGATTTAAATCTCAGACCAATACTGATTTTCTTATTTGATCAGACCATATCAACTTGTATTACATGGTAGCATTCAACATAATAATAAAAAAATGAAAATGAATGGTATATACCAGTATCGAGCTCTATGTCTTGATATTGGTACCTTGTTGGACTTGTAAATATCAGTTTGTACCAACCAGTACAGTCGAGATTTAAAACGTTGCACTGGATGCCATGTGACTTGTATGGTGGAAGTAAATCTTGTTTGAATTGTCTTTAAACATGATTATTAAGACTTAACTGTTCATCTTAAGTTTATCTACATACAATCTCTTTTTCTCTATACACCTATTGTATCTTGCTTACGGAATATGAAGGAGGTTTTGTTTATGGAAATAATAAATAGGTAATGAACGAAGAGATTGACTACTTCTAATGGTTCAGTGTGAAGAATTTAAAAAGAATGTTATTCTAGGAAGTTTGAAGGAATGGTTGGTAATGTCTATTTTCTGCTCCTTATAAATGCTTGGTGTTTAATTGAATTTACAGTTTCAGCATAAGCCTCTTCATGTTATCTAATGATTGTCCAAAAACCTTTTGCAGTTTTGAGAAGTCTCCTAGGCATGATGCTTATGTTCCCAGGTTTGAAGCAGAGCTTGCACAGTTCTGTGAGAAGCTGGTACACTTCTCTGTACATATATATTTTTTATTTCTTTTGGTATTCAAAATTTTGTAAGTTAAAATGATGCAATTCTATGATGCAGGTGATGGATTTGGATAGAAAAGTTAAGCGTGGTCGTGATCGGTTGGCACAAGAAGTTGACGCAACACCTGCTCCAGTCCCTGCCGAAAAATCAGAACAACTCTCTGTGTTGGAAGAAAAAATAAAGAAACTTCTAGAACAAATTGAGACACTTGGTGAATCAGGGAAGGTAGATGAAGCTGAGGCACTCATGAGAAAGGTGATGCAGACAGTCACTCGGTACTTGTAAGGTATAATATGCATTTTTCAGTCTAATAAAACTTTGTATTTAGGTGGATATGCTGAATGCCGAGAAGACAGCCCTGACCCAACAATCAGCAAATGATAAGGCTATGATGCTTCCACAAGAGAAGAAGATGGCACTATGTGAGATCTGTGGTTCATTTCTGGTGGCGAATGATGCTGTTGAGAGGACACAAACTCATGTAAGTGGGAAGCAGCATATTGGCTACGGCATGGTCCGAGATTATCTTAGTGAGTTCAAGGTAAAGATTCAAATTTTAAGATGACTTTCAGCTCAAATTAATAATTATCATGATTTGATGGATTAAATGGTTGTTTGCATGTACTGTCCTGAAGGCTGTGAAAGAAAAGGCAAAGGAAGAAGAAAGACTAGCTAGGGAGAAGGAAACAGATGAGCGGAAGAAAGTGAAGGATAAAGATCATGAGAATAGGGTTAGAGAGCGTGATCTGGTTGGAAGAGAGAGGTCTAGGGAGCGGGAACGTGAACGTGATAGGTATAAAGACCGGAGCTCCGAGAGAGAGAGATCAAGGGATTGGAGTGGAAGAGGAAGCAGGGATGGAGGAAGAGGATTGGATCGTAGGCATGACTATCACAGGAATGGGAGGGAATCAGACAGGGACAGGTTCCGAGACAGGTCTGGAGCACGAAGCAGATCCAGATCTCCTGCCAGGCATGGTTATAGAAGATCAAGAAGTCCAGTTCGACAATACTAGCTGTTAGTATAAATAGTTTGTCAAAAAGTACTGAGATCCAAGAGGTAGTCATTTTAGCCTAGATTTTTCTGAATGCACTTTGTGCTTGAATTGAAGTATCATTATTGTTAAAACTCTTGTTGCTGTCCTAACAGCTCTGTTGAAGTCATGTGGTCATCCAATTAAAAGAAAAACATTGAGGTAGGTATTACTGATCCCTCCTTTTTCTTATAAAGTCATTTTGAGCTGCAACTATTATATCTTTCATTTGTATCTATGGGCTCTTTCACAGAGTGTCAGATTTTTTTTGTTTAGCATTTTTTTTCAATCATAATTAAGATGACAGATCCAAAATGATGACATGAATGGTGTGGCAATGAAGATGATGATTAGTAATCAACCTATAGAGGTAACACATCAATTCTAACTTCTTTTTTGGTACAGCTGTGCCTCTTATAAAATTCAAAATTGTGGAGATATTAGGCCATTGTATTAGTTGTTTTATCGTAGTTTGTAGATATTCACGTATTATTAATGCTTGTAAATGTTTGATGCACTGCCCTATGCAAACTCTTCATATTATAGATGCAGAGAGACTAAGTTTGATTCCCTCTCTCTCTCTCTCTCCTCCCTGTCTTGTTCTTTCAAAATGGCTTTGGTTCTTTTGAGCTGTAAATATTTTATTAACTTTTGTAGTTTTGTATTAGTTTGCTGGACCTACGAAGTTAAAATGAAAAAAAAAGAAAAGAAAACAGCCTGTTTTCTGATCATTGTCTTACCTTCACACCTAGGAATCTTGCCTTCTGCTTCTTTGTTGTTTTTCATCTCAAACAGGATTGGCCATTGCTTTCTGGGATACTTGTGATGATTGCTTGATTCCCATGCTTCCTGAATATGTTGTCTGCAACAAGATCTTACTTGTACATAATGTGTTTTCTGTGATGATCTTACTTGTTTGGGAACGTTTGATAACCCATCTTGCTCATTGAATTAATGCAATGTAGCAATGATTTCCAGTGAAAGTGTAGCTAAGGTGAAGTCTTACTTGTTTGCTCATTGCCTTTGGAACTTTTCGTGCTGCCAAGGATGGTCATAATGGTGCGAAGTTATAAATAGTTGACTAATGTTTGCTCACTAGCCTTTATTTTTTGTACCAGTGCTGTTGAATGTTCTTCGAGGCGGGATTCCTCCACACATTCTCAATTCACCGTTCGTGTGTTCGCAATGTTATATCTGTCTGCTCTAGAATTTGGTTTCGTTGAACATTTTGCTCTTGTAACTTGCTGCTATTTGAGTTACGAGAACATGATAGAGCATAATGAAATTATGTGCGAATTTTAAGGGTACGTTGGGGAGATTTGTTGTCGCCCCTACTTAGGAATCATCGCCTGGGTGGGACTTTTCACTGATAATCTATAATCTCGGTCGATGTTTCTGTACGTTTTGAACGACTTACACATGTACTGGATCAAAGAGATAAAATTGAGCTTTATTTGTGATACGAACGTACTTTTGGTCTGCCATAGTCATCTAATTAGCTATTTCGCAGGTACACCTCTCCTAAGATACGACGAGAACCATGCAATTCTTTAAAGAGAAGGAAAAAAGGTATATACTTGGTATGCATTTAGAGTTTATATTGTCAACTATAATTAGTCTTCATAAAAAAAAAATCATTTTTTTATTTCAAGCAAGAAGACGGTTAAAGTCAAAGGGAGAGTCGGATGGACGGTTGAGAAAGTACCCCTTTATACACTCTGGTTTAATTTTTATCATCTCATGGTGGCGCAGTGATGAGAAAAACAAAACAAAGCCAGAGAAGAGAAAAAAGAAGATTTAATCACAATTTCGATCGTAGGTTCATAAAAATGCAAAAGAAATCTATTCTCTTCGATTCGATTGCGATTTGTTAGTTGTTATGGCTTCATCAGGGAGATAACCATTATTTCCTCAGCTTCCGAACAAACATTTCTCAATTAAGCTATTAACAATTCATAATTGACCTGTTGATTGGGGTCCGAATGTGGACTGCACCATAAGGGAATCCTATAATAATACGGTTTGGTAGGAGGGGATGTATCTTTAGCGGAGATATTTGTCCCGGTAGTTGAGAGCCAAAACGCACGGCGAACCGACACCGTCGGTGCGCCTCAATTGGTCGCTGCGGTGGAGGCGCCGTCGCGGCTTACATAATTTGTTTTTAAAATAATTTTTTTAAATTAGTTACAGCCCTTTCCCCCTTCTTTCTTGATCCGAGACTCCCTGTACTTCCTCTTTCTCTTCGTCTCTTCGCCTGAACCTACACTTCTCTTAAAGCGAAGTGGGGTTGGAGATCGCAGGACGAAATCCAAGTGCAATCGGATCGAATCCTCCACCAAAAAGAGGGAGAGAGAACAAGAAAAGAGAGAAGAGGCATCAAGGAGGAGGAGATCTGAAAGCACGCAAGGGTTCCAATTCCAAAACCCCCGTCCGACGCTACCCAGGCTTTCCCCTACACGCTGCTCCGATTGAGGATTGATTCTTCCCCATGGCTCCCTAACCCTAGGGTCGATGGCAGCGTGCTATTTCGGTCGTGGGGAGAGAGGGATCGCACGGCTCGCTTTTCGGGCTCTCGGTGGTCCGTAAGCGTCGGAAAGTGTCTGGGATTTGTGCGGATGGCGGTGAATTATCTGTGCCTCTCGGCGTTCAGCACGGCAGTTGGCCTCGTCGGACTGCAGTGGTGGACGGTCTCCTCGCTTGACCGGATGCGATCCGACGGGTTGTTCGTTGGGGATGGCCATGGTGTTTCCTTGGAGAGTGCACGGCGAGCGCTGGAGCTGCTCCTCAGCTCTCATGTCACTGTAGCTATGCTGGTGAATTTTGTGATTAACTTGTACGTTCTGGTCGTCTTGCTGCTCAAGGTATGGTAATTGACATGGACAACGTTGGTTTTAAGTGGATCTAGCATTGCTTATTGAGCCATTTGCACCAATTTATTGGTTCTTCAGTGTTTTTTTTTTTTCCATTGTCGTGACACTTCCAATAGTTTTGCAATGTTACTTAGAACTGCAGCATAGTGGGATAACTTGGACCGTGTACAACCCCTTTTTTGCTCTAATTATTATTTAGTTTGAAATGGGTAAAAATAGGTTCATTTAAGTGAGGAATTCTGCATGTTGTAGCCAAGGAATATTTGAATTTCTCTATTTTGTTCTTTTGATCTATTTGCTGAACAGGTTGTCGCTTGAGAATAATTATGCTTGTAAATTCTTGCGTTAGGAACCTTAGAGCTAGAGTGAAGTTCAAAAGCTTTCCTCTTCCGAATAAAATAAGAAACAGGGCTATATATCATGAAAATTATATAACAGGATGTGCTATAGTGACAATTATGGCTTTAATCACTATTAATTATGTCTTTTCTCTACTATTAGTCGGTGCTAAATAGAAGTTTCTGTTGGGGCAAAAAACCCAAAACTTTAGTGGTTTCATTGTGCTTAAACTGGTTAGTGATTGATTGAGTTCTCTGATGTTATTTTGCCAAAAAATGTAGGCAATATTGAAGAGGCTGTTATTAGATATCTATTTAGAAGTCATTTAGCTGAATGTTAGACCTCAAGTTGTCAGTACTCCTATGAACCTTTCTATTATTGTGCCTAATCTCATTTTTTTTTCTTTTCTGCAGACACTATTCTTTGTTCGGTTGAATGCATCAGAGACTAGAAAAGTTTTGGAAGGGTTTGTCAATTACATACTATACAAGGTAACACTCAGCTATTAAGTCTGGTTAGGCTTTAAATATGTTATGTTTCTTTTGTAGCTTCTCTTGGCACTCATTCTATATTGTTATTTTCATCTACATTAATTTTTTTGGTCAATGCCCTGAGTTTGTCCTTCATGATAGTGAATTCATACACAAGATTTGCTTTTATCAGTTTGGCATATAACATGAACATGACATAAACAAGTAGCAGTTTTGCTTTTCTAGATCATTTCAAATGGAATGTAATACTTGAAAACCTTTAAATTATTAGTAATTTAAAGCAAAAATAGGAAAATGCTAGTGAAAAATTGTGGCCAGTGTCAACCTTATGTAGAGTTTCATCTATTTGTGCTTATCTCTCATGGTTGAGATGCTAATACGGTTAGTGAGGAGAGGCAACAAGATTTTGTTATTATTAAGAAATTCATTAAGGAATTGATCAAATCAGAGCCAAAGGATGGCCAAGAGAAGGTACAACATTGGTAATGAGATGGTCCATTGGAAAATTTGCACTCAGCCTGCTATGAATTTAAGAAGGTCCAATTTAGACCTGCCTCATTGTCTAGGTGGTCTAGCCAGTTCACAATGGTGCAATTCTGTGGTAGCTTTGCATCCTCTAACAAGTTCGAAATGGTGCAATCCTGTGATTCAGGTGTTGAGTTTTGCTGGATTGTTTAGGTAATAAGCAGTGTATTTTGTTGATTCGTTGTTGCTGTTGAAGTGGAATTGGTCTTGATTACTGTTTTGGGAATACAAAATAAAAGCTCGTACTAAACGAATTATAAGAGAGATACCTAGATAAGAAAAGAGCAGTTTTAGGGAAAGCAGAAGAGACAACAGCCATTTGTTGTCACAACATACGACAGAGAGGAACAAATTAATTCATATATAATTCGTCATAACACACTGCAAGAGAAGAAGCTCATTCATATGGAAGAAGACATTCCTTTTATACAAAATCCTATTTAAGACACCTTCAGAACTATCTAAATACAACTCGTAACAGTTACATGCCTTTCCTCAACCATGCTACTCTTTTATTAGTTCTATAACTCCACAAGCTCACTACATACAACTCTCGAATACCATTAAGTAACCAAGAAAGAATAGTGACACAGATCTGAATGAATATCCAGAAGTTGGAGCACTCATACATATACCAAAATATGACTCATTGGACCTCAAGATGTTAGAGGCTAAACCTAACTATGACCCAAATTAGACTAACCTAGGACTTGTTCTGAGTTGTCCCGTGTCAATATTATTTTGGGATGAAATTTCCTATTTTACATGATTGATCCACCATGAAAATTAATAGATGGTGCTTGTTTGTGTGTTCAGTTTGGAAGGTTGCATGAATTTGATCGACAAGTAATCCCATGAGAAGTGTTATTTTGACTTGTGCTCATCTTGGATTTAGTGCAGCAATACCAGTTCCATTCATTTAAATGCAATTTGGTTATGATCTCAAGGTCACTAATGTTGCTGTAAGTTGATGCAGCCATGAGTTCATTTGTTCTAAATCGAATTTGTAATGAGGTCTTACATATAGATGCAGATGAACAATCAGATATTTAGTTTTTCTAGATCCCTTGTTGTTACATGTATGATTTTGCCTATCCAAACAGGGAGCTTTTCTTCTCCTAGTTGTGCCACCTGACATTTCTCAAGTCATCATATGGTCAAGTTGGTTGATCTTTCTATGTTTCCTTAAGGTTAGAAACAAAGAACATACTCATTCCTTCTCTTTTTAAATTTTAGGAGAACCATATGTACTTACTGAGAGAATTTCCTGCTTTTAATTTACAGATTTTTCAATCATTAGCAAGAGATCGGCTTGAAAGACTAAATGCATCTCCTTCTGTAACACCTTTGAAGTACTTCCGTGTTTTCTCTGCATTGTTGATGGTCCTATCTGCTGATTTCCTTTGGTAATTTTTCTTCGCAAACTCAACATGGGTGACATTGTAGTTAAAATTCTTTCCAACTTCTGTATTCAGGTTTTTATATGCTTCATTTAGTGAATGAGAGACAAGTTATCCTTATTATTACCTTTATCATAAAGATGCTTAAAATGTAGCACTGCCATTAAAATTTCCAATGTACTTCTGTGCCAATAAATTTCCCAATAAACTTATCCATTTCTTTAATACTATTGGCACCTTATACTAGTTCCTACACTAGCACTGATGCACAATAATATACCTCTAAGAAGTTCTTCAATTTGTACCCAAAAAGGCAAATGAAGGGAAAATATTACCTTTAGTTAGCTCTGCCTTTGCTTGGATTAGATTCTTAATGCAACTTACTGGGAAACAAATACATGCTTTTCAAGAAGCAGTGATTTATTTGAGATAGCATGATGGAAATAACATGCTTGACCGATAGAAACTGGACCTTGTACACTTATAGGTCTTCAAATTATCACCATATCTAGCTATAGGACAGTCATGAAAATGTGGTAAGATCGAAGATCTAAGATTTATTTGATGATGTAAAGTGTTTCCGAGTATAATTTGATGTTTGTAATAAAGGATTCAATATCATAGATTCAATATCCTTTATTACAAAGGCCAAATTATACTTGGAACGACTTTACATCATCAGCAAATCTTAGATCTTCGATCTTGCCGCATTTTCATGATTGTCCTATAGCTGGATATGTTGATAATTTGAAGACCTACAAGTGTACAAGGTCCAGTTTCTATCGGTCAAGTATACTGTTTCCATCATGCTATCTCAAATAAATCACTGCTTCTTGA